ATGCATGTGATAAACAAAACTTTGACCTTGACTGACAGATAGAAAGCTGAGAAACTCTGACAGAACTGATGAATCGAGGGAACCAAGGAATGGCTAGAGGAAGACTGCTGGAAAACACACAGAGAAAGTGTGGCAGACAGACAAATGTGAGCAAAGGAGAGGGAGAGACAGATAGAAGAAAGCGAGTCAGAATATTTCTAGCACTGAGGAGATTATTAGCATTTCAAATTCAGGCAGGCGGGCAGTGAACGAAGGAGGACAGCATATATGTGGGAGGCAAAAGACAGGCTAAAAAGAAAAAAAAATGTCATCGCAAAACTGAGAAGTGCACTTGCTCTCCCTTGCTCACTTGTAATTCTCACTCTGCAGCCTTCTATCTCAGCTCTTCAGGCCCCTTCAGGCCCAGTGTGACATCAGGCTACACATCAGCACAACGCTCTAATACTTAATTCATGATGAAGTTACTACTTATTTATAACCAGATAAATGTAACACAAGTAATTTACAATAATGTTCATTAACTGCTCTTTAAAATTATTGTAAATCATTTAAAACACTGTATTTCTTTTAACAACTTAAAAATGGCCATTAAAAGAAAACAAAACATCAGCATATTTCAAAAGCAGTGTTCAACACAAAACTATTTGACTGTATAATACTAGTGAAAAAATATTTGGTCTTTAATTCTAAAAATTGAACTGAAGTTGAAAGTCTTACCTGTGGCTGTCACCTGCTCCTCTGTCACTACCCTCCTCTGCCACAAGCATGAGGGTTTTTTTTCTCTTATTAGTTGCCCCACTGTTGCTAGGAAACGGTACAGAACTAATTCAATTAACTATCAGTAACCTTGGTGTGTGAGATTATGAGCTGACCTTAAACACTATTTTCATGAAGAATTAGTTAAGAGAAAAAATAAAGCCATATTCCAAATGTAAAGGTATTTATTTGTGACAATGTAAAATTAAAAGAATTTCAGGGCCTGCAAGTTCTACACTCCTCCTGCACCTTATATGTTCATTTCAATAGAGCAAACCATATTGCACATACAGTGCCAATCAAGCACTGTATTGAAATTGCTCTAACTTTGTATTTTTCTACATTATAATTTTCTGCAATCAATTCAGATAGACTCCTTGCAGTAATAAATTCTTATGTATGACATTTATTTAATTTTTTATAAAGTTGAATTTTACCATTTTCTATCTTATTAAATTTAAAAACTATTTAATTATGAATTTATTTGCATTCATTTGCAAAAATTAACAAGAAAGCACTTGCAAACCTCGAAACATGCAAATCTTGATAATGCTTTCAGCTAGCTGACTACAGAACAGATTGAATCTGACATAAAAAAAAACAAAGTTCAGCTATTGGATAAGCAGCTCCATGAGTCACATGTCTAATCAAACAAGATGGCAATCATGTGGGAGTTTGAGGACCTTCCGCACAGACACTGGCTGTAGCTATATCAAAGTGTACTCTTCACACTGTACATCTTTGAAGTTAATTTAACTAATCAAGACATCTGATAAAGCCCAGAGACTGTAGAAGTTCACAGTATCAATGTTTGCTTCTGCAGGGGATCTTGAAATTAAATGGCTTCTTGCACATGCCTATGGCACCTCAGGAGGCCAAAGATGGCAGAAATCATGAGTTAAACTTTAGTCATATATGAATAATGGCCACCTCAGATATTGAACATACTAGTGTGTAATTAATATTTCTGAATAAATTGGCTCAATTACAAACCATGTGAAGTGGCAAACCATATGACAATCACATTTAATACAGTTTAATTAAAGGGTGTGATAGCACCTCACTGGATTTTCTATGTAAATGGTTAAATAATCTCCATCCAGTCATTTCAGTCAGCATGAAACTGCAAATGTGTGGGAGAACAAAAGTTGTGAGGGCGTGATGGTTCAAATGTTTCATTCAGATCAAGGCCAGTTTGCCACATCTTTGTTAGAGAACCCATTCGATTCATGATCCTTCAGAGATCATTCTTATATGCTGATATGGTGCTCCATAAACATTATTATTGTAACGAACCTCCAATTATTTTAAAAGAGGTTCAACCAGACATATATGGAGGACAAAGGGGGCACCACGCCACAGACTTGATAGAAAAAGCTTACTTTATTGACAATGCTATTCAGAAAAAGAGAAACTTTATATAAATAACATTCAACTAAGTTCATCAAACATCAACTTGTAGGCCTTCTCTAGGATAAACAGCACTGCACTACACTACACTCCAGTGATTACTCCCAGCCCCAAACTTCACGCTAATGTGATCACACAAATCATTTCAGGTGGTGGAAAGATCGACTCATTTCCCCTACCTTAGCACATACAGAGTAAACATGTTCGTACAAACTTTAAAAACACTCCTTCACAAAGACATCCACACTCACACACACATATACTAGTGATGTTAGGTTCTTGAACGCATCGTTCTTTTGTACTGGAAATATGCTTGTTTATTATGATGGCTGTTATTAATTTACATTTTATTAAAACCTGCAAAAACCTTTCTGTCGAGTGATGTAAATACATTTTACAATAGTTTATTGTGCATGCATATTATATTTAAAGTTGCTTAAGCGAAATCAAGAAGTTTATAAGACTGGTTTATTCATTCTTTATACTGTAGACACGTAGAACATATCCGCGTTTGTGCATCAATGTCTGTAATGTGTGCTGTAGGTGCGAAACATTTAGGAATCTTATCCAAGTTGTAGGCTAGTCAATATTGGTCAGTCAGTCGTATCTGAGGATCTGCGGATGGCAAATCTTCCCACATAGTGTGGTAGATATGTGGGGGCGTGTTCGAACGAGCCGTTTTAGGTAGGTGTGGCTGACTCTGAACTTTTATAAAGAATATCTCTTTGGATTTGAGACTTTAGTCTTTGCAAATTTACAGATCTTCTTTATGCACCAAGAGCTTGTAACACTCCAAAGAGAAAGGAAAAAATGAAATCGCATCATATGACCCCTTTAAGTAAATTATATGGCAATAATCAGCAATATGCTTTCACACAAATAACATTATTTTTGAATGTTTCAATATGCGTTGACACAAATGACTTACGGTATTTGAATTTTTCATTGATACAACATGGCACTGAGTTGTTAGAAAATAAATGCATAGAGACGTTATTGCTTGATGACGATGAATCGGCTTTTTGAACCGGTTCAATGAGCCGATCTGTGTGAAAAGTACCGGTTCGCGGAAATGAATCGGACTTTGCGTCACTAACATATACAACACATAGATGTTAATTAAAATATGCCGACGCACGGTTTCACATCGCACGCATAAGCAGAGCGTAGCCCAATTTAAGCAGCGCGTATTTTTTTCGGCGCCCATGTTAACAGTAAACTCTTCAGGACACCGGCCCTCCAGGACCGAGTTTGGACACCCCTGGATTAGAGCATTCACACCACAACGCAGAGGCAGCGCGTAGCAGGAGCAGAGCAGAAGCGGCAGTGCCGCGATCGTTTCTTCGCCGAGTCTATTTTTCTGCGCCGCTTATGCTCCATTAAAGCCACACAATGCATTTTTATTGATCAAAATTGACCTTATTAGCATGAAAAATAACACATTTCACCATAAAATCGTGTAAGTGAAGTGTTTCGCGTTTCACAATCACCATATGAAAAAAAATATATATAAAAAATAGGGTAGCCTAAAAAGGCTAAAGGCACACTATAAGAAAAAATTTGCTTTTCACTACGCCCATAATGTGATTGCAGAAAAAATATCGTTTGTATTAAACATTTATGGAGCAATAGATTTTGTGTAAAAATAAATCTAAAAAAGTTTAAAAACATCAAATATTAGATCAAGTTAGCACAGAATCAACTACACGAAAACACATCACATGCCAGGAGTTATTGCCCAAACTTCAAAGGCCTGTTTAAATTATTAAAACTAGAGGCATTTATTAACTTTAAGATGACTTTTCATGTAAACTACCTATATACATCATGTTTATATGCATGTGTGTGGGGGGGACAGAGGGGAATGGGACAGAGGAGAACACGGCTGCATCACAGCAGAGTATGCTGCCCATATCATAAACCAAAGCACATGACAGACAGTTGTCGGAGAACACCTGAAAAGCGTGACCGAATAAACGATACTCGTCTGTATTTGCAGTACACACCGCGCGACAAACGCTGCCAGTGTGAAAGCACAATGGGCGCGCGCTACTCCCGCTCTGCATAAGCGCCGCTTCTGTATGGCTGCTCTGCTATGGAAGGCCAACACGTGAATTTGTGAATTTTAACGCGTCAACAACGCGTTAAACACGTGTATTTCACGCGTAAACAAT